AATGGAGCTGAAATGGAACCTGTGTTTAGTTCCAGAAAGAGATTTAATCGAATAAAGGGATACTTTATGATTTACAATTGGAAAAGTTGTGAAGCAAGGTTTATTATTTGACCATACTTAAGTTTGTATGCAGAGCAAATAATATGTCAATCTGGACGAGATGAAAGTAGAATTTAGCTTCGGGTTTGGAGGAAAACGCCCAATATGCAGATGACAAAAGGTTGCTTTTCAAAAGTGAAAGCAACTCGAACCATATACTGATGATGAAAGACTCCGTTGTGAATCATAACCTAACGTGAAACAGAAGCACAGCTGAAATTATAAGCAGCATGTTATAAACAGAAGAATACTGTAGTTGTCAAGAATTTTATTTTAGTTGGATCTGTAATCAATATCCATGGAAGGAGCAGTCAGGAACTCAAATTATGTTTTTTATTGGACCAATGTGCTTCAAAAGACCTCTAAAGTGTTAAAAAGCAAAGATGTTCCTTAGAGGACTAAGGTGCACCTGACAAGCCATGATCTTTTCATTTGTATGCAAAAGAAAACAATGTAAAATCAATAAATAAAATTGATGCTTTTTAATTGTGTTGGCAAAGAATATTGACTCTGCTGAGGACTGTAAAAAGAACAACAGAATCCGTCTTGAAGGGAGTACAGTCAGTGTTCCTTAGGAGCAAGAATGGTGAGATTTCACTTTGCTTGCTGTGGACACATCGTCAGTAGCCCATCACTACATTAACTGCTAGGAAAAGGACATCCTATTGGGGGGAAAACCCGCAAAGCTCTCCACTGGACAGACTGACACGGGGCTACAATAGTGGACTCAAACGGAGCAGTGATGGTGGAGAAGCACTAAGATCGTCAGTGTTCTGCTCCACATGAGGCCACCAGGAGTGGAGCCAACTCCACAACAGCGAACAACAGCGTGGCTTGATCATTTTACTTTTTAAAATGTTTAGTGCTGTTACAAGACCGTACACTTCTTGACGTTTAGTACCATATCCTTTACATTTTTTTCTATTTCCTCCTGTGCTTAACTTAGGCGCGTGCATTTCACCTGTCTGTGCATGGTGTCTTAGTTGCAGTTCCAAAATCTGTTTTTCAATTGTTTCTTTCAGCAGCTTTCTCGACTTTTTTTTTCTCAACCCATTGAAGGAATTCAAATACCATTCTCCTGAATTCCTTCTCCATTAAAAATGCCTTTAGCACCACTGCCTTATACTCCTGAGTACGTTCTCCAGGCTCTGTATTTTTGTCTCTAGTTTGAACCACTCTTTCTTCATGTGAACTTAAGTTGTTGTCTCTGAAAAATTGTGGTGGTGGTATATATTTGTATTTAATTGATGATTGTTTATTGGTGAAACCAAAACTACCCATAGCCACTCTCTGCCTGTCTCTTGATGGGTGGTAATTGTGTGTGCGTGCACATGGGTGCGTACAGTCTCTGTCTGTAGCGCTGTTGAGGGCAGTTTGGGCTGGAATTTTCAGCTAACTATAAATTGTGGGCAGTAGTCCTAACCCACTGAGTGTTGCTGTAGATGGAACAGGTGTGGCTGCTGTGTCAAATAGGGTAGGACAAGAGAAAATATAATAAATGGAAAAGAAAGCAAAAATAAGAGTAAGGAAAAAGGAAAGGGGGATTTCAATAAATAAAGCAAGCAAGCCCTCACTGCCACAGAGTTGATTTGGACTCATGGGGACCCTACACGACAGGGTAGAACTGCCCCCGGGGTTTCTGAGACTAACCCCACCCCCCAATCATTTTATTGGGAGCTCTTTCAGCTCTTATCACAATCCATACATACATATATCCATTGTGTCAAGGACATTTGTACATATGTTGCCATCACCATTTTTAGAACAGTTTCTTTATGCTTGAGCCCCTGATATCAGCTCATCTTTTTTCCCTCCCTCCCCCAGCCTTACTCCTTCATGAAAACTTGATATTTTATTTTAAAAATTTCATGTCTTACACCGACTATTATCTCCCTTCACACACTTTTCTGTTTTCAGTCCTCCTTGGAAGGGAGGACTGTAAATTTTTACAGGAGTAGAAAACCCTGTCTTTTTTCTGAGGGACTGCTGGTGGTTTCGAACTGCTGAGCTTACCAGCCCAAGGCATAACCACTGTGCCACTTAGCTCCTAACTAACGCTAGGAAGGGGGAAATAAAAGAGATGATTAAAGAAAAAATTATGAAAAGGAAAAAGAGAGGGGAGAATACCCCGCCAGCTAAGGAAGGCACTCACGGTGTGGTACAGGCATGGGAGCTTGGTTTGAAATGGAATACCTGCAGACTTAGTTCATACCTGGGGCAGGGACCTGATCCAGAGGGTTTCTGCAGGCTCAGATGGTGGTTGAGGTCACGATCATATTCCTGGAAAGGAAAAGTATCTTGGGTTCACAGAGCAGCTGGGGAAGGCATGTGGCTATGGCTCCTGCCCACCCAAAGTGACTGGCGACAGGCTGGCTTATCTAGCTAGCCTTGGACTTTCTGCTTGTTCTGAAGAGTCAGAGCTCATGCTCTTTCAGATGGGAGTTATGTGTGTGACTAGCCACTCCTTTGATCACCAGGAGAGTGAGGAGAACAAGGGAAGAGCCCTCCTTTCTTGTCGCAGCCACTGGTGTGGGTGCTTGTGCTGTTCCTGATCAAGTCGGGCTGCATCAGAGCAGTCAACAGTTCACCTGTTTACTCTCTGGCCTTGTTCCTTTAGCTGCTTCTAGTCAGTATTCAATTCATTTCTCTATCCTTTCTTCTGAAGCCCCGAATTCCAGAGTAGCATCTGTATCCCTTTCGTTTGGCCTTTAATGCCTTCGTTGTAGAGGGTTTGGATAGTGTGTCTGCCTTGGCCACCATCTTGCCAAAAGCCTCAATTCTAAAGTCTAAAATACTACAAAAATCTAAGGTTATATTTTATGAAGCAATTTCAGAGGATTCACGCGTAATGTTTTACTTAATCTAGTTAATGGGACTATTTTAAGATTTGGGTACAGAGATATGAATGAATATTTTTATGGGGATGTAGTATCTAATTAATGAAAATAACCAGCACATGAACTATTAGTATGTCAGAGGATGATACAAAACCAAATCAAAGGCCCATCTCATGGATTCAGACTCTCAGCAAACCCGATAAAACAGAAGTGTCCCTTTGGGTTTCCAGTACTATAGCACGAAGGCTCATCTTTCTCTCCCCCCATAGTACACAAAGCAACAACAATAAAACTAAAACTAAAGCCTAGTGGTCTCTGATGATCTAAAACTAACGTGGTCCAAAGTCCTGATTTACCAGTTTATGTTTGCTGTCTAGTTTTAATGCTTGTATGTCATACACACACACACACACACACACACACACACACACACACACACACCACTTTTAATCTCAGAAGAGCCCTGATTTGGATAATAAATTGTAGTCCTCCTACATATAGCGGCTATCCATGCAAGAGATGACACGGTTATGGTATGTGGCTTTAATTAAGGTGAATGTTTGCAGTATCATTTTGTAGCTCTGTTCTTCTAGTTGCTATCTTGCTGTGTGTCATTGAGCCTTTTCTGATGAATAGATATCCCAGACGATAGAGCAGAACTGCCGTAATAGCTTCCCAGCTGCAATCCTTACAAGAACAGATCACTAGTTCTTTTATCCTGCAGAGGAGCTATTGGGTTTACAGTTCCAACCATGTGTTTAACCATTGCACTCTCAGGGCTCCGGATTCTTCTAGATTGGACATTGTAAGGAATTATATATATGTCTTCTGCATCAAATGAATGTTAGGAAACAGGACTCACTAAAACGTGTCCAGGAAGCTGAGCTCTTTATTTCCCTTACTGCTGGTAAAAAGGAGGACACTGGCAAGTTACAGTTACAAAGACAAAAACATACTGCTACCATGGATTTGGTAGGAGGCGCCTTTGGATAAAAAAGGCAATTACAATTTGTAGTTTTCCTAAATTGCTCATAATATATGCAAAGATGGCTTTTTGCTAAAATTATTTTTGAGTTGACATTGTTGAAAATTATTCTTGCTCTCTGGTTCAGAATTTACATGCCCTTTGTGTATACATGGAGACATGGTGGCGCTGTTGGGTTAGCATCGCGAGGTTGGTAGTTCAAACCGACCAGCCACTCCAAGGGAGAAAGATGAGGCTGACTATCTGCTACTGTAAAGATTGATGGCCTCAGAAACCTTGTAGAGTGTCACTGTGAGTCGAACCGACATGGCAGTGGGTTTGGTTTTCCTCGGGTTTGTTAGGTTGTATAAAAATGAAGCTTTTCCGTAGACAAAGGTTAATTCAAACCTGTATTTTATGTAATAATTTCAGAGCTTCTCTACAGTTCAAAACACAATCTTAAAGATTCTTTTAGCTCTGTAACCGCTGGGCCAGTGGTGCTACTGGGCTCTGTGACCAGTGAGAATAAAAAATATTCATGGGTGGGATCTCCTTGCCCCATTCATTCAGTTATGTAGGAGTAGATAGGCTGCCCCACTATGGAATCAGGTGGATGACATGACAGAGGAAAGGTGGAACCAAAAATAATAAAAATGAGTCCTGCGGCCTTTTTGCAGCTGGGTAACAACCGGGAGTCACAATAAGGTAGTCTGTAAAAGGTCAGGCGTCTTAAGCGATATAACCCTTATTTTGTGGGGTTTTCCCCCTCTTTGCACATGTTGGGGAAAAGGTATCTCTTTTTATCTTTAATTTCTTAGGAAATCTGCTTCTACGGTAGTAGTTGAAGTATGTTACTGAATAGTTGTTTCTCAGTAGCTACAGATGTGCTGAGTTTTGTTTTTGTTTTTAATTTAAATCCCTTTTATTAGAGTCTGGTTCTCCAGGCGACTATATAAAACTGCAGTAAAAGATCCATTTTTGCTTCTCAGTAAAATTGCCGTTGTTTAAAAACACTAAAAGTCTAGGAATACTTTATTTAAAACAGGAAGGAAAACTCTACTAACTTTAATGAAGCACTTTCCCTCTTTTTTTTTTTTCAGAATGAAATGGGCACTGAAAATATGGTTAGTTCCATAGATCCTGAAAAACAAGATTCTCCTCCTCCCAAGCCACCAAGGACCCGCAGGTATTGTGGGTCACGTTTGATTTGAAAGGATACTTTTATTCTGTGTTTATTAAAGTTGCAAAATTCGAATATGGCAAAATTTGACTATTAGCTGCAATAGTTGCCCTCTATAAACTCATTTTTAACACGATGAACACCTATATCCTTTTCAGTTGCCTTGTTGAAGGAGATGCTAAGGAAGAAATACTTCAGCCACCGGAACCTCACCCAGTGCCACCCATCTTGACACCTTCACCCCCTTCAGCGTTTCCAACAGTCACTACAGTGTGGCAGGACAATGACAGATATCACCCCAAGCCAGTGTTGCACATGGTTTCATCAGAACATCACGCCACAGATCTCAACAGAAACTATAATAAATCAACAGAACTCCCAGGGAAAAATGAATCCACTGTTGAACAGCTAGAGAAAAAATTGGAGCGAAATTTAAGTTTTGAAATTAAGAAGGTCCCACTCCAAGAGGGACCAAAGAGTTTTGAAGGGAACGCACTCTTGAATAGGGGACATGCGATTAAAATTAAGCCTGCTACATCTTGTATAACTGATAAGATTGCTAAGCCTCAAGAGCTGAGTTCAGGGGATGTAAGGGTTGGTGAGATTTCTCAGAATTCTTGTGTGGACTACAGTGTCACGCAGTTAAACAAGCATCCCGCTACTCCGTCAGAAGAAACACAGGTGAATGCAGACACACCTCCAAGGCCAGACTGTTTGCCTCTTGATGAGAAAGGATTTACAGTGTGGTCATTTCATGGACCTGAAAATGCCCTGCGTGTGCACGATTTTTCTGAAGGCAAATCCTCTGATAGCCACTGTCAGGTTATGAAAACTGTGAGTTTAACACCAAGCCCCACAACACAAATTGAATCTCATGATCTTGTGGATCATCCAAACAGTTCACCTGTATTCAGCGCACCCCTCAGTTTTACTAATCCCCTTCACTCGGATGACTCAGACTCAGACGAAAGGAACTTGGATGGTGCTTTGACCAAGAATAAAATGAATATTTCTACAGCAAGTGCCACCGTTTCTGCTGCCTCTGGTACTGAAAGCATTTCTACTAGGAAAGTTTTGCCAATGTCCATTGCTAGACATGATACAGCAGGAACGATATGTCCAGGTGCTAAAAAAGGTAAAATAATATGTAGTGCCTAAATATTTTTGCTATGTGCTTGCTGGTCAGTGCTATAAACACTTTACCTCTATCAGTTTGCTGTATTTTGTTCCACACTACTTTAGAACAACCTACAGTAGAATTTAGGAGTTTTTTAAGATAAATTTTTTCATACACCTATTATTACTGTAACTTGATAACATTGCATTATGGATACTATGTTTCAAAAATATTTTCATTGTTGTAAGGGAAAGATTTCTCTCCTTTTTCCTTTATATTGTAGCTTTAAGTATAGGCGCAGCTTGGATATGCTGCGGGTTCAGTTCCAGACCACAACAATGAAGCAAATATTCCAGTACAGGGAGTCACAAGAATTTTTTGTTTGTTAATACCCCTAGAAGTTATGTTTACACCATACTGTAGTCTATGAAGTGTTTGGTAAAATTTGCCTATTCAAAATGTGCAATCACTAATAGGACAGCTTCTAAAACAAAAGTGTATAACATACATCTGAGCATCTAGAGATCCAAGGAGAAGCAAGGGCCAACCCATTGCTGCCATCATGTCATTTGGAATCATGTTGACCCTGTAGGACTAAGTAGAACTGTTTCCTCATAGTGTTTTCCAGGTCATGAATGGCTTCGTCTTTCTACTGCTGAATGGCTAGTGGGCTCAAACTGCCAAACTTCCTGTGCTTTCCCACGGAACCACGTGGTTCTCGTCAAACCAAGGCCATAATTAGACAACACCTGTGTAGACTCTAGTCCAGTGGTTCTCAACCTTCCTAGTGCCATGACCCTTTCATACAATTCCTCATGTTGTGGTGACCCCCAATCATAAAATTATTTTCATTGTTACTTCGTAACTGTCATTTTGCTACTGTGATGAATTGGGCGACCCCTGTGGAAACCGGTCGTTCGGCCCCCAGGCTGAGAACCCCTGCTCTAGTCCATCAGCATGAGACTCAGAGGCCCTGGGGTAGACAGATGAAGCGGAAGACAAGGTCCAGCAGGAGCACCAACAATGATGGGAACACAAGGCAGGGCGTTCAGAGGTTTGATAAGCTGTTGAATATAAAAATGATAATCTGCTCTGTAAACCTTCACCTAATTTACAGTAAAAGTTTAAAATGAAAAAGAGGGAGACTCTCGGGAGTGAAGTGGTACAGAGTTTCTGAAAGATTTGATAAATCCTCAAAGTAAACAAACCAGACTGCCCTTGCCAATTTGTTCTCTCAGTTATGAAATCTTATCACAAGGCCAAGATCGTGGGTTCCTTGTTTTTATTAGCCATCTCTTTCCTGTGGAATGTTAAAAACCAGGGAGCAGGAGTCTGCTGATTGCTCAGACTGTTACTGCTCCTGAGACAAGGAGGTGGTTCTTCAGTACCTCACTTTCTTTATGCAAGAGAGGGCTCCAGTATTGATGGGAGATAGAAAAAGATCAGGATAAAACTCGGCACTAGTCACAAGATTTAAGCAGTAAACAAAAATGTTAAATTTTTAATTATGTTTTTATGGCCATTTTATAAATGGCTGGTATCTCAGATCTGTTTCACAGCGATTACTGCCTTAAACAAGGTTGAAGTTAAAGATGAGTGGGATTTAAAATGTCAGGTAAATAAGACGTATGATACGTAACGATAGCAAAAATCACGAAAGGAGTTAAGCAGTTCAGTCCATTTGGGAAACAACTGGCTGGAGTCAAATGACAAAGCTTTCCTTTATGGATTCAAAGCCTCACCAGCAAGGCTAGTCAGTCACTTGGCCTACTGCCGTCTCCTCGGAAGCCTGGCCTGAGGACAGCGTGATTCATGTCTGGAGAGTGTCAAGGAATGTCACGGGAGAGTCGTTTGCACTGCAGCAGCGATGAAGCTCAGCCTTCTTTGCTTAGTAAACTCCACGCTACTTCTGGAGAACAAGTTGAGGGGCAAGGGGTTCTTGTTCATATTTAACTTTTTGATAACTAGGTGTGTGTTTTTTAATCCTTGTGACAGGATTTGTAGAATGTTAAGACAGCTGTCATTTTGAATAATTTGTCTGACTTGTATGCATTTTGTGTAGATGTTGATGTTAGTGAAGATTCACCTCCTCCCCTACCTGAAAGAACTCCTGAATCTTTTGTCTTAGCAGGTGAACACAGTGAGTGTCTTAGCTACTTTTACATTTACTTCTTCCTACTTTAATAATAGACTCTCAAAAGCATAGCTGCTTTTAAGCTAGTAGCTATTTAGCTGCATGATTAAGTCTAGTAACAGGTTTACATTGGTATTGAAAAATGTTTTTAATTCCTTCTACAACAAAATACTTTTCCGTAGTGGTTTTTGAGGGGATTGCTAAAGGGGTTACTGTAGTTATGCTAGCTATGAGAAGCCAGCACAGGGCCTTACAAATGCATCTGCATGTTGATGGCTCTTTCAGATCATTATAAGTGGTATTTATGGAAATGTATTCATTGCTTTACTTGGTTCCAGTTTAGGTAAGATACAGGTTTTGTTAGGTTGTGGTTGGGCATCATCTTACTGGTGTTAAATGGGAAACATTGAAGGCCACAGAGCATCAGTTAGAACTGGGAGAATGGTCGTTGCAAATAAATTTCTCTTCCCTGCTCTGCTCCTCAAGAAGAATATAGAAATAGCTTTCAGGTATTTTCAGTGTCTAGTGCTCATTGTGGGTGATTACTCTTAGCACTATAGTTTGTTAATAGTTTATTTTTATCTATTTTAAGATTGCTAAAGGACTGAAGCTGTGTACAGTTTTAGTTGCATATCTGCAAATTGCTGTGAGCTAATAATAACTTGTGATGATTTGATTTAGTTACATTTCAACAAAGGAAACTTACAGGGATTTTCTTGAAATAATAGAAACCGAAATAATTTATTATAGAAGGGTTGGTTTTTAGAAAGGTGCAGGGTCTGTTAATGCAAAGAATTCTCAAGACTTTAAAGATGTTAATTATAATTACAAAATTTCTTTTTTCTCAGATACATCTGTAAGATCTGAATTAATTAACCTTCAAAATCAGGAATTGTCTGAGACTAAATCTGAAGTGAGTCCTTTGGGGGTTGGAACATCTATAGTTTACTCTTTTATTGTGTATGTGCAGTTTTTTTCTTCCCTCTTGGTATCTTGTAGTTGTTTATTATAACTTTCATTTTAAGTCCATTAAATTTAGTTTTCTAGACATACAAATAATTCAGATGGAAAACCTATATAAAATGTAAGATCTGAAATTTTTAATAAGGATAACCTGAAAAGCTACTTTTGAAATTTGCAAATTATGCTGTTTTCAAAATCATTTTAGACATAAGAATGAGACAGGAGTTACTGTTTCCAAGGCCACAGTACTTTCTTAGGTTTTGTCCCCTTGCTATAATACCAGGTACAGAGTTCTTCCCTTTGGTTATTCTGGTCACCCGCAATTTTTTTCCTTGGTGAGGAAACATTTTGTAGCCAAATATTTTATCCACAGGAAATACCATTTTCTGCAGCATTAATTTTAAAAATATCTTCCCAACATTTCAACATCTGAAATTAGGATGCACCTTATAGTTGATAAAAACACATTTGATATAGTTTAATTGACATTAAATAATGGTAACTTACTGTTTATGATTTGTCGTCAGTAATCTCCTATTTTATGATATACATTGGATATAAAGCAGCATAACAGTTTTTTAAATTAATTAATGAAGGCTAATGAAAAGTATCATTTTTTCTTCCCTTTTGATATACCTTCCTTGATTTCTTGGGCTGTATACCCTTAAGCCAGTACATGAAAGGAGTGTTATTTGTCCATAAAAGTAGTGTACATTATAACAGCTGTGAATGTCTTCCTTATAGGGCTCGATGACCTCTGGAAATGAAAAATGTGAGTGATTAGAGATTTTCTTTTGGGTATAGAACAGAAATAAGTTTCCATAGAATTATTTAGTTTATTGTATATGCTACCCAATTATTTGTGTGTTTGTGAACACATATACACATACATGTTTACACATACACCCCACGAGCGAAAACTGAATGATTGACAATCTCAGAAACCCACAGTGGGCAGTTCTACTCTGTTAGACTCGCCGTGAGTCAGACCCCACTCAGTGTCAGTGGGTTTGTTTGGTTATCTCTATGTGTGGAAAGATGTAGGGCAACTCTTGTAGAAGCTGAAGTATGTAGTTTAGTTCCTCAAGTTAATTAGTGCTACCAGGTATCATTATTAACCTAGAAAATATTCACTTCCCCCTCCCCCCAAATAGTATAATATTTAGTTACTTATTTAGCTAATAGGGGGAAAAGTGTTTCAATTTTTTTTCTTACATTTTTTTCTGCTCATAAAAACACAAACTAGATCCTAACAATGGACTTTGAATAAATGCCCCGTAATAACTTAGATAATTGATGTAGGCTGGCTGTTAATAATTCATTTGAAAATTTCTTTTAGGAGTTTTACGTTTATTTCTGAAGACTGATAAGCTGATATACTTCTAATTAGTGTTACAATGCCAACTCAGGAGATTTTTCTTCCACATTACTTTTCCAGCCATGTTTTTCAATAAATCAGTGGCCTGTAAGCAGCTCATCAAGTGGCCTGTACAATTCCTTGGATTCATGGATCCATCTGTTGTCTCCGCACTTGTCCTCCCTTCTGCTTCACCTGGTCTCTTCCTCGAGCACACCCTGAATCCTCCACAGTTGTGTTGTCCCCTTGGGAGCTGCTGGAGAATGCCACTCAGTTTGGCAGATTGAATTCCAGGTCTTTACCCAAAGTGAGGGCCTAGCCTTGTCTGGATGCAGAAAGGGTACTAACTAGATTACTGTATACTCGTGTATTAGCTGAGTTTTTCCAGCACATTTTTTAAAAAAATTTCTATACCACCATTTATTCAGTGACTTTGGTTACAATTTCATAATGTGTCCCCTTTCTCATTATTTCCTTTCTGGTTGCTCTATTTCCAATAATCTACTTTCCCTGCCCCTTTCTCATATATTTGATTTTGAATATCTGGTGACCATTCGGTCTCATATGATTTTTTAAAATCATTTTATTGGGGGCTTATATTACTCTTATCACAATCCATAAATACATCAATTGTATAAAGCACATTTGTACATTTGTTACCCTCATCATTCTCATTTGGGTTACAGTAATTCCTCTCGGTTACATTACCCTTGATCACGGCCTACCAGGCCTCCTACACCTTCCTCGCCACCTATTTGGATCACTTCTTGTTCACTTGTCCCTGGCTTTGTTAGGACCACTTCCTTTCCCCCCACCTCCCCTTCTCCCATGTCCCCCCGGAACTGTTGGTCTCATTGTTTTCTCCTCCAGATTGTTCATCCACCCTATCTTATTTAGACAGACCTGCAGAAATAATAACATGCACAAAAACAAGACAGAGCAAAACCAATCAACAAAAGAAAACAAAACAACAACAAAAAGCCAATGATAAAACAAAACCCCACAATAAAACAACAACCAAAAAAGAAAAGCTTGTAATTAGTTCAAGGACTGTTTGTTGGCCTTTAGGAGTGTGTTCTGGTCGAGTCTGATGGGGCACCAAGCCCTGGCCCCAAAGGCTATTTTTGGTATTTTCTGGGGACTTTGTTGCTCTGTTCCCCTTCCTGTTCTGTTGTACTCTCTTAGTGTTTTCCCTCGGTGTGGTGGGATCAGATCAGGCACAATTTCCACATTGTGTCTCCAGTGTTGTCCCCTGTAGGGCAATGGGTCAGTGAGGATGTTGTGTCTCATAGTGGGGCCGGCCATATGGTCTTCTCTGTGGATTGGCTGCTCTGAGTGGGAATATCATCACCAAGGCTTGGTGGGCCAGAATGTGCTCCACGCTTTCTTCCTCCTCCTTCATTTGCTCTGATTAGACATGTCCCTCTCCCTGAGCTGCAGCTTCAGTGCTGTCCTCTGAACTAAATTCTTCTGGGGGAAGGGACAGCTGTCCACGTAGTTGGGATTGGGGCCGGCCCCTGAGACCTCTCTACTGGTGGTTCCCTACTCCATGCTGGCATGTTATATTCATACCTTGGAGCACCGGGTTGAAGTCTGGTCCCTCTTTCCCTGTGGAGATATAAACAATACCCTCCCCTTGGGTGGGTTAGTGCCCTGTGCCCCCGCTACCCATTTCTTTTTTTATTTTTTACCTACACACACACACACCCCACCCCCTTCTTTTCAGTTGGCTACCACATGTATCCATGTATCCCTGGATTTGGTCTGGCCCCTACCATACTACCTGGTCCTCACTCCAGGAATGTTTTTTGTATACAGTAGCTTTTTCCCTGTGCCCCTTTTGCATTTTTTTTAATCCTTTTATTAGGGGCTCATACAACTCTTATCACAATCCATACATACATCGCTTGTGTAAAGCACATTTGTACATTCATTGCCCTCATCATTCTCAAAACATTTGCTCTCCACTTAAGCCCTTGGCATCAGATCCTCATTTTTCCCCTCCCTCCCCGCTCCCCCCTCCCTCATGAACCCTTGATAATTTATAAATTGTTAATTTGGCTTTTTTTTTAAAGCTTACTTTAACGGACTCATGTTGTACTTGTCCTTTTGTGCTTGACTTACTTCGCTTAGCATGATTTCCTCCAGTTCTTCTCATGCAGCAATGTGCTTCATACGATCATCACTGCTTTTTAGTGATGCATAGCACTCCATTGTATATATATACCAGCTTTTTAATTCACTAGTCACTTGATGGAATTTTGGGTTGTTTCCAACTCCTTGCAATTGTGAACTGTGCCGCAATGAACATTGGAGCACAGATGTCTGGCCGTGGTTTGTTTCTTGCCTCTTTTGGGTATACAGTATGCCCAGTAGGGGGATTGCTATCTCATATGGTAGCTCAATTTCCATCTGTTTTAGATATCGCCAGATCAATTTCCATAGTGGCTGTACATACTACAGTGGATGAGAGTTCCTGTCTCCCCACAGCCCCACCAACACTTGTTGCTTTCTGATTTTTTGAATTGGGTTATCTTTGAGGGAACATTTTCTCATGTTTGTTGGCCATTTGGATTTCTACCCTGAGAAGCTTCTGTTCAGGTCCTTTGCCCACCTCCTCAGTGGGCAATTAGTTTGTTTCTTATTGGAAGCTAGCAGTGTATTATACATTTTAATAATAAGGCCTTTGTCTGATGTGTCATTGCTAAAGATGTTTTCCCAGTCCGTGGACTCTCTTATTACTCTCTTGGTGAATTCTTTCAAAGTACACAGATGTTTTATCTTCAGTATATCCCACTTGTCAATTTGTGCCTCCTCTGTGTTTGTGTCCTTCCCTATTTTTGATAGCCTATGTATTCCCTGTGCCAAAGTTCTCAAGTTGGTCCCAATTCCCTCATTGATGGCCCTAATAGTTTGGGGGTTTACTTCAAGGTATGTCATTCACCTTGAGTGCATGGAGTGAGATAAGGGTCTTGTTTCATTTTTCTGCAGGCAGATATCCATTTTTTCCAGCACCACTTGTTAAAGAGGGCATCTGCTTCCCATTTGATAATTTTGGGGCCCTTATCAAAGATCAGTTATCTGTATGCTGATGATTTTATTTCTGGGTTTTCAGTTCTTTTCCATTGGTCTGGGTATCTGTCATTATACCAATACCATGCGGTTTTGACAACTGTGGCTGTATAGTATGTGCTAAAGTCAGGTAAAGCAAGCCCTCCCACTGTGTCCTTCTTCAGGAGTTCTCTGCTAATTCTGGGCTTCTTCCCTCTCCATATGAAGTTAGTAATCAGTTTTTCCATTTCTTTGAAGAAAGATGAAGGTAATTGTATCAGGGTTGCATTAAACTTACATAGTGCTTTGGGCAGAACTGACATCTTCACTATATTGAGCCTTCCAATCCACGAGCATGGTATATTCTTCCATTTGTTGAGGTCACTCTTGGTTTCTTGTTATAGTGTTCTGTAGTTTTCCCCATATAGATCTTTTGTACTTTTAGTCAGGTATATCCCTAGATATTTCAGTTTATATTTGGCTATTGTGAAGGATGCTACCTTTTTGATCTCCTCTTCTGTGGTCTTATCCGATGTGTATAGCGGTCTGATGGGCTTCTGTTTGTTGATTTGTATCCTGCCACTCTGCCAAACTCCTCTATTGCTTCCAGTACTCCCCTTGTGGAGCTTTTGGGATTTTCCATGTATAAAATCATATCATCTGCAAATAATGATAGTTTTACTTCTTCCTTCCCTAGATGAATACTTTGATATCTTTTTTTTGTCTTATGTTGTTAGCTAAAACCTCCAGCACGAAGTTAAATAAGAATGGGGACAAGGGGACAAGAGACCATCCTTGTCTGGTCTCCTTTTTCAGTGGGATTGTGTTCATCTTTTCTCCATTGACTACCACGTTGGTTGTTGGTTTGTCATATACAGCTTGTATTGTCCAGAGGAATTTTCCTTCCATTCCTATCTTCTCACGTGTCTTAAACAGGAATTGATGTTGTATGTTGTTGAATGCTTTTCCTGGATCTATTGATATTATCATGCAGTTCTTATAGTTTTTCATGTCATGATCATGGTATCTCCCCTGCCAGATAAGTATGGTAGTTTTTCATGTCAATGTAGCAAATTATACTAATGGTCTTTCATATGTTGAACCATCCCTGGTATGAATCCCACTTGGTTGTGGTGAATTATTGTTTTATATACTTTTGTATTCTGTTGGCCAGTATTTTGTTAAGGATTTTTACATCGATGTTCATTAGGGATATTGGTCTGTAGTTCTCAATTCTTGTGGGGTCCTTGCCCGGTTTTGGTATCAGAGTTATACTAGCTTCATACAAGGAGTTCGGGAGTTTGCCATCTTTTTCTATGCTCTGGAAGAGTTTGTGTAGGATTGGTGTTAGTTCTTTAAACGCTTGGTAGAATTCTCCAGTGAAGCCATCTGGTCCAGGGGATTTTTTTTGTTGATAATCCCTTGATAACCTTGTTTATTTCATCTATTGCTATGGGTCTGTTGACATTCTTGACATTGTTTGGGGATAGTCTAGGGAGGGATTGTTTTTCCAAGAATTTGTTCATGTCTTCCAAGTTGTTGAATTCACTGGAGTACAGTACTATGTAGTACTGTGTAATTATCCTTTTGATTTCATTAGGGTCTGTTGTAATGTCCCCTCTTTCATCCCTCATCTTTGCTATTGAAATTTATTCCCTCCTTTCGTTGGTTAGGTTTGCCAGTGGTTTGTCGATTCTGTTTATCCTTTCAAAGAACCAACTTTTAACAGCATTAATTTTTCCATAGTTATCTTATTTTCCCTCCCCTGAATATCAGCCCTGATTTTTATTATTTCTTTTCTTTTGCCATTAGTAGGATTGTCCTGCTGACTTCCAGCACATTTTTAATGCAGTTTTTTGTCGTAAATTTAGGTGCCTTGGCTGATATTTGGGTCAGCTTATACTCGAGTATATACTGTAATCTAGTTATTACCCTTTCTATTTCCCTTGGATTTACTAATTTTCTTCTAAAATCAGTAATCTTTGCCAGTATAAAACACCTGTTTTTGATGAGAAAATCAAGGCCTCTACTTCCTAGACGCTGGCCTGAATTACCTCACTGCCAATAGTTGAATCCTGGCCCTCTTCCTCTGTGTCCCCACTGTATACTCTATATTTCTATTTAAATTTTTTTCACAATTATATTAACTAGTTTATTATCACACTGTTAATTAGACCAGGGATGGGCAAACTGTAATCCACAGAGCAAACTCTGCCCTTGGTCCATTTTTTGTTTGCACCACGAGCAAAGAATTTTTTTGTGTGCATTTTGAAAACCAAAGATTATGTGACAGAGCCCATATTTGACTATAAGACTTAAAATATATATTGTGTATCTCTTCATAGCTTTTTTAAAAATAGCCACTGGATCCCTGATAACCCAGTAAGCACGTGCTCAGGTGCTAACTGGAAGGTCAGTGATTCAAACCCAGACCCTCTCACCTATTCTGTGGGAGAAAGATCTGGTAGTCAGCTTCCGTAGAAGTGATTACCGTCTGTCTCTGGGGCACTTTTACTTACTTCACCATCTAGGGACACTGTGTCAGGTCACTGACAAAACGGCCATTGGTTTTTTGGTTGTTTTTTTAGCACTTCCTAGAAAAGGATTGCTGCTTCCTGACTAGACTATTACAAGCACTTTGAGCACACAGACCAGCTTTGGCTTGATTTGTATACCTTAGCCATATAGGTTCCATACGAGGCATAAGGGACTTGATAAGAGGTTTTGAAAGAATGCAAGGATCACAGTAGTTAACTGCTTAGAATTCTTCCCTTACAAAAGACTAAACAACATTCTAAACTCTACATGTATTAGGACACCACTAAAGAATTCATTCCTTTTTCAAATATAAAAAGTTATCACGAGGGCTAAGTAAGAATGGATGAAAACCAAACCAGATTTGTTGCCAGCGACTCAATTCTGACTTCATACCAACCCTACTGGGTAGAGTAAAACTGCTCTATAAGGGCCTCAAGACTGTAAGCGTTCTGGGATCAGACTGCCACATTTTTCTCCTATGGAGCCACCGGTGGGTTCAAACCACTGACCTTTCAATTAGCAACCAGTTGCTTACCTGCTGAGCCACCAGAACATCTTAGGAATAGATAGAAGTGTGTCAAAGAATCAACTGCATTTAGGTAGCAGTAATTAATTAGGAACTTACTTGTCATTGATTGAAATTTGACATCTCATTTGCAATTATCCTAGAGCATATGTATAGCTATATATACAACTACTTCAATTAAATATAATATGCCTTGATCTAAGTTTATTACACAGATTTCCCCAACTGTGAGCCCCTTCATATGGCAAGTAGGGTAGAGCAAAGAAACAATTGTCATTTCGTTGTATGGGAAAGAAAATTTGAGCCTTCCCAGACCCCTAAAATAACCTATCAAATTAAATCAAATAACACATAAAACCTACACTAACTTGGATGGGTGGGGAAGGGGGAAGGCATGTGCTTAAAATTTTTCACAGGAAAATCCATTATCTTGAATTTCCATTTCTTTGTAAATGTTGTGAAGCCCCCGAGGCAGGAGGCTGAGTGTGGTCCCAGGAAGGGGCATGGTGACACCAGTCTTGCTGCTTGGGAGTGCTGCCTCTTCCAACAGTTGGCTGCAAAACTCAGAATGCTAGTTTTCACTCCCACCCCCAGGAAAGAGGGCGAAATCTTCTCCGGATTTCTTTCATTTAGCAAAAACATGTACTAATGGAGGGCTGTCATAGAAATGAAGTGGTTTAAAGTGAACTGGGTGTGCTTGTACAAAGGTGAAGGCAACAAGATTGTTCACATTGCAAAACCACTGCAGGCGTTTAGGTGCCCTTCAGAGCACCTCACGTGACTCCTGAGCTTGATGTCTGAGAGCAGTCAGTGTGTTTTTAACTCATTTCCCACATTAAGTCATTTAAAGTGGCCTGTGTGTGGTGCTGGGCAAGATAAATGCTATAAATGATGATTCACAAGGTCTTTGTTTTACGTTTCAGGTCATCCAGCAGGAGGTGTCCACACAGAGACTTTGAGTGACAAAGATGAAGTATCAGAAAGTCCCACAGAAGCCACAGATATTGGTAATTTTAATATATAATTAAAAACTCTTAAGTAGCAAATGCTGACAAGAATGAGAAAAGGTCATAACACAATTTCCCTAGAGCAAAGTTGACCAGGCTTTGTTCTATTATTTAGGTACTAACATGAGAGTTACCAAAATTAAAACAGCGCTAAAATCAAAGTACCTTAGAATTCATCTTGAAATAAATTATTTCTTCTTTTTTTAAAAATAATTTCTTCTGTTTTACCTTGAGACGAAAACTTGTTAGTTGCTGTTGGAATAGGATATATAAAAAAATGCAATACCAGAGGATGTAAACTGGTACAGATAGGAACTGAAAATACAGGGAATCCAGGGCGGATGAGCCCTACAGGACCAGTGGTGTGAGTGGCGAAACACGGAGGTTAGAGGGAGAGTGGGTAGGAAAGAGGGAACCAATTACAATGAACTATATGTGACCTCCTCCCTGGGGAACTGACAACAGAAAAGTGGGTGAAGGGAGACGTCGGACAGGGCAAGATATGACAAAATACCCATTTATAAACTATCAAGAGGGGGGAGTGGGGAGGGAGGGGAAAAATGAGGACCTAATGCCGGCGGCTTAAGTGGAGAGGAAATGTTTTGAGAATGATGAGGGCAATGAACGAACAAATGCGCTTTACACAATTGATGTGTGTATGGATTGTGATGAGTTGTATGAGCCCCTAATAAAATGATTTTTTAAAAAAATGCAATACATGACCAAAATCTTTATTTTGTGTAAAATATCTTAGATCTTTTTCTAACATTGTGACAAAATTGATTTTTCACTTATTTTTCCCAGTAGTTTTATTGGAACATATTTTACATATCATACAATTCCATGGTTCAGTCGTTCAGTCATATCAAGAAGAATCCTACAATCATTACCACATCAATTTTAGAACACACACACACCTCGTTAAATCTCCTTTAACATGAAGTGTGTAAAAAAATAAAAATAATAAAATTAATTGTGCATTCACAATCCGTTCTAGTGCTCCCTCCCCCTTCCGTTCTTACTCCAGAAACCCTCTTTCTCTTCCCATCACCCACACCACCACTCCTGCAGCCTCTGTGAACCCTTTTATCAGTTACCGTCATGAGGCACCCACTCCTGTGCTTCACAACTGGAAGCCCAACAGAAACAAGAAAATCAAACTAAGGTGGTAAGGAAAAAACAGTAATAATGTAAAGACAAAAATACAAATGATGAGCAAGCAGGAAGGAAAAAGACCCTCACGAGCATTCAAAACGCCAGAGAAGAGATTTCTGTCGGGGAACAAGTAAGAGACACTTGCACCCTGAAGCAATTCAGGTCGGGTGTATAGGGACGTAAACTGGACAAGTAGCGAGTTTGATCCAGCATCATCAAGATTACAGTGGTCGCTGCCAGATCGGAAGGCTGTTCGAGACTCTTGCCTGTGGCTAGAGCAGATCTGCCAGTGGCTCAGTCTGACCAGATGGGTTTGGGGCTCCCACTGTCTTCCATAGTCTTCTACAAATTGGGTGTTCATAATTTTAGCTCTGAGACGTTTCTCTTTGCCATATTCGAATTGTGTAATTGTTGTCTTTAGATCACACAAACTTAGTATACTGTTTGTTTATTAAAGAAGCTATTATTTTCAATTTCCCAAACAAATTTACATTGGCCCTTGAGCTGAGAATAATTTGAGTTTTCTTTGGTTTAAATCCTAAATTCCCATATGAAAATTTATTTACTCCTAAAAGTGAAGATGTTGAGATAGGAATTTGGTAGCTTCGTTATCTGCTGAACACTGCGGTAATAATCTCTTTTAGAAGAATTAATATTAGGCTAGTCCCATGGAGTTGGTGATTGATGACGTCACAAATGTCCAACTCTTCCATGATGCTATTTGGCTCCATTCCCCCCACACTCCTCTCTCGAATATATTCCTTCAGGTTCCTGGGTTCTGCAGTGCCCCATAGGAACCCATGAAAATTCAAGGAAATAATACCCAAAAATAATAATTCTAGTCTCCATTCCTAGACTATATCTTACTTATGCACATATGACCTGGGGTCCCTGGCAGGATGACTCCAATAGACATTAGTCTCCTCGTAAACTAAGTCAGCCAATCCTTTTCCCAGATCACTCGAAAAGCCACTTTTCTCCTCTCAGAGTATCATATAATTCCTCACAGCCATTACAAGTACAGGAATCAAAATAGCCATTAAATAAAGAATGTGGCCTGATTCACACGCTCTACTAAGGTCAGGTCTTAATTCCATCCTACCCGTTTGTTAGCAGATAATGCTCTTCAAAACGACATAATAGCACAGGCATATATAGGGCTGTGTTAATTGACTATAACTCAAAACACTTACCAATTATTCTGTTCTTTTGACTCTAGGTTTTGGTAATCGCTGTGGAAAGCCCAAAGGACCAAGAGATCCACCTTCAGAATGGACATGATTCAGGGAGTTAGGAGAGACACGTGAAATTCTACTGGAAAATTCAAGTGCCACTGAAAGCCAGATTGGTATTCCATCAGAAAGTGTGCGACTAACAGCAGCGCAGACTGTTCACCTTACAAGTTTTTGCGGGAACGATCTACCTGCCTATACTACAATTAGGAAAAAGTATTACATAGGGTTTATTTTGTAACTTCAAGTATTATTGCCTTAATGTCTCTTAACCCTGTTACACGCTGCTTGTAGACTTGTTAATATAGTAATACTTTTATGATAAATTGAGTGTCAGACTACTCTTTTGCTAATGGTTTATCGAGTATGCATTATTTTGTATTTGTACAGGGCAAGTAGATATATCATTTGATAAAGTTGCAGTTATATTATTAACAGAAGATGTAAGAAATTTCTGCATGGTCTAAATCTTTGTGTACCTTATTTGTAAATTATTCGCCCTGAAATTTTAGAAAATAGTTTCTGAATTTAAAATTGCTGGATTCATGCAGCCAGCATTGCAGGTTATCAGAGATCAAAGATTGTAATAATAATACATTTTGTAAATTGTGAGCAAAAGGTTATTTTTATATTATATACTGTCTAATTGTCCACCATTTGTTTTCACGTAGTCATGGAGATTCAGTAAGTGCCTTGGAACAATATTGAATTCTCTTAGCTGTGTGTGTTACTTTAATATTTTGAACTCAACTGGGGTTAGAAGACTATCAAAAATATGTGTTTCAGGATATTTGACCTTCCATTAAAAAAACAAAAACAATTTTACAGTGCCTATCTGTTGCCTTGGGTTTTCATTGCTCAGTTTTAGAAAGTTGGACCTAATGCTGCCACCCTTCCAGCTGGGTTAGTCTAATCTTTAAACCGTTGGCATGAGTGGAACTTAATCTCTTACTTCAGGAATAGGGAGCGCCTTCTTCCTTATGACTTTGCAAGTCTAAATACTTTATCCTTGAGTCAGCCTGAAGCATTCTTCTTATCCTCCTCTTTAGTAGTTGCCAGGATTTTAGCGGAATACCAAGCAGAAGTGAAGTTGGGAAAAAGACTGTTTTCTTCCCATTGCACATCTGGAACTTGAGCTCTGCTAAATCCACAGTCTGAGTGTAAACACCACTGATAGATGTTGATGCAACTACTCTCCCCAGTATCTTCTGTCTACGAACAATGAAGAAAATTAGTTCAAAGTGAAATGGAATAAACATACATGAGTAAAAAGGAAGATGGTTAAGAACAACCTGCTATAATTTTGCATTAACTTTTTAAGCTAAATGATTTTTGTTAATACCTTAGCATTTCAGTTTCCTCATATATTTGATCTTGGATAAGGAAATGAAAATTCAGTAGACCCTTGACATTCACAAGACATACTTTATTATTATTTTTAATCATTTTATTTGGGGCTCTTTCAGCTCTTACAACATTCCACATATCACTTGTATCAAGCATATTTGCATATATGTTGCCATAATCATTTTCTAAACATTTACTTTCTTCTTGGGCCCTTGGTATCGGCTCCTTTTTTTCCCTCCCTCCCCTCCTCATGACCCCTTGATAAATTATACATTATTATTTTCATACCTTACACTGACTGCTCTCTCCCTTCACCCATGTTTCTATTATTCGTGCCTCTTGGGTTGGGGGCAGTTATATGTCAATCATTGTGATTGGGTCCCCCTTTCTCCCCTCCTCCCCCTACCTACTGGTATTGCTACTCCCATTGTTGCACCTGAGGGGTTTATCTGACCTGGATTTCGTGTGCCATGAGCTCTTATCTGTACTAGTGTACATGCTGTGGTTTAGCCAAAACTGTAAGGCAGAACTGGGGTCATGATAGTGGGGGTAGTGTGGGTGAGGGGTGAGAAAGCCTCATAGAACCAGAGGAATATTGTGTTTTTCATCGGCCGCTTGTTTAACTTAAAGCCTTTAGGACCCCAGACACTGTATCTTTTGATAGCCAGGTACCAGGAGGGTGAGCATGGCAGAATGCCAGGTTGTTAGATTAAAGTGTTATTGTGTTGTGGGAGGGCTTGAAGAGAGGCCCAAAATCCATCCACTTCCTCAGTGTATTGCCATATAAATATACGTACATAGGCCAATACCTCTATTTTTATTAATATATTTACATAAGCACACACCTATGTTTATTCCTGTATCCATAGCTTCTTCCATTTTCTTTTTTCTTCCTCTTGCCCCACCATCATGCTCGCCCTTCTGCGTCTTAGTAATTCCTCTCAGCTAGATTGTTGTTGCTCCAACACCACCAGAATCTCTAACACCAACATGTCCTCCTCGCTGTTGCTGTTTGTTTCCCTAGTTGTTCCCTTGTCTGTGGTGTTGTTTGCTCTCCACTCCTTTCCCTGCCGCCTCCTCCCCACAAGTCCCTCTGGGACTGTCAGTCCTGATGCTAAATCCTCGGGCTTGCTTCCCATGCCTATCTTAGATAGGTAGGTTATACAACAATAATGGAGACAAAAGAAATGATTCAATTAAAAGAAAAAAATTAAAAAGCATAGAGAATTCCAGATCTGTCTGCTGACCTTTATGTACAAGACATACTTTAATAGCATATCATTTTCAAATAAAATGTAAACAATCAAAAGTTGAAACTGCTAAATTCTTGAATTTGAAGGGTCAACTGCACATGTTTGTCTTTTTATCTTCTTAGGTTGTTTACTATAGAAAAATTCCTGCTCCTGTTCAGATGCCTACAGGGATAGGGAATCCCAAAGGAGAAATTGAATTTTGGTGAATTTGAGATAACTAGTAAATCTAGACTTCAGGCAGTGAGGTCCTTTATGCAGGTAGCAATACAGATTTGAGCTAGAATTGACTGGAGTATTGGGGCATTCAATTAACACCTTCAGTTTACACACACAAAAAAAAACAACTCAAAGTATCCAGTATCTATGTGCATTTTCACACAAAGTTAATCTTGATGTTTACTGAAACATGCTACACATTAAAATGGACACCATGTCCCTACTGTGGGGAATAGCATCCCCACACCAGGCACCAGATTCATCCTGTGCTCCAGGTTTGGATCTCTGTAGTCCAGATTATTTTGCATGACCACCAGATCAAAACCAAAGGACCAAGCCAACTGCCATTGAGTCAGTGCCAACTCAGAGTGACTATGCTGACTTAATATTCTATCATTTAACTCACTAGTTTCTAATAACTATTGCAATGGCTATACAAAGTTCTGTCGAGTCGGTTAATAAATAAACCATTCCGTTTAAGGTCCATGAGTCAGCAAACCCAGCTTCTTGAATTAAGTGTCCCAGGGCACCCTCAGCCCTAGGGCACTCAGGTCCACTCCTGTGGGTCAGCAAGCCCAACTTCCCATTTAGGTCCCCAGAAGAACCCTAGTCCACTAGCCAGCCTCCTGTAGAGAAGCACTGGCTTTACTTGCTCGGTGGGTTGGGAAGTCCATCTGTTCCATACTGTAGCTCCTGGGTCTGCTGCTTCTCCTCTGATATTGCAGCTGTTATCTGGATCCAGGAGGTTCACTGCACAGGCATCTGCTGTCCAGAGGACATGCTCAACTCCTAGCTCTTGCTGGAAATAAGATCCCTCTACCTGCTTCTCAGAGGGCTCATTTTATACATGTCAGGATGGCGCTCCAGGGAAGTCTATTCACTGTTACAGATGAATCATATCAACATCTTCCCTGACCTCACCAGACATGCTGGGAAAGATGGTTTGGCAGGAGTGAAAAACTGGTCAGAAGAGCCATGTTAAATCATGCACTGCCTGTGCAGTGACCTTGTAAAGGGTTTCAGAGGTGTCAATGTTTATAGAAGGACAGATAGCCTCATCTTTCTCCCATGCAACTGTTGGTAGGTTTGAACCACCACCCTTGTGCTTAGCAGCCCAGCGCTTACCCAAGAATGCCACCAGGTCTGTGTGTCACCAGACAGAACTTCCAAAATATTAGCTTGATGTGCCCCTGCCATTTTCTAATGTCTCATTAAAATTCCTTAATGCTTGTTTGCTATGCTGTTTGTTTTTATCACTTTATTGGGAGCTCATACAACTCTTATCACAATCTATCCACCCATCCATTGTGTCAAGCACATTTGTACATTTGTTGCCATCATCATTCTCAAAACATTTTTTTTCTACTTGAGACTTTGGTATCAGCTCCTCATTTTTTCCTCCCTCCCTGCTACCCCCCTCTCACAAACTCTTGATAATTTATAAATTTTTATTATTTTGTCATGTCTTACACTGTCCGATGTCTCCCTTCGCCCACTTTTCTGTTGTCTGTCCCCCAGGGAGGGGGTTATATGTAGATTCTTGTAATCAGTTACCCCTTTCTACACCACCCTCCCGGTATCGCCATTCTCACCACTGGTCGTGAGGGGTTTATCTGTCTTGGATTCCCTATGTTTCCAGTTCCTATCTGTACCAGTGTACATCCTCTGGTCTAGCCGGATTTGTAAGGTAGAATTGAGATCATGATAGTGGGAGGGAGGAAGCATTAAAGAACTAGAGGAAAGTTGTATGTTTCATCATGCTACACTGTACCCTGACTGGCTCCTCCCTGTGACCCTTATGTAAGGGGATGTCCAGTTGCCTACAGATGGGTTTTGGGTCCCCACCCCACATTCCCCCTCATTCACCATATGATTTCTTGTTCTTTGATACCTGATACCTGATCCCATTGACACATCCTGATCACACAGGCTGGTGTGCTTCTTCCATGTGGGCTTTGTTGCTTCTCAGCTAGATGGCCACTTGTTTATCTTCAAGCCTTTAAGATCCGCAGATGCTGTATCTTTTGATAGCTGGGCATCATCAGCTTTCTTTACCACATTTGCTTATGTGCACCCACTTTGTCTTCAGCAATTGTGTTGGGAAGGTGAGCATCACAGAATGCTGAGTTATTAGAACAAAGTGTTCTTGCATTGAGGGAGTACTTGAGTAGAGGCCCAATGTCTGTCTGCTACCTTAATACTTAACATATAAATATATGTACAGAGATCCATTTCCCTACTGTTATATGTAAATATATCTACAAATGGACATGCCTGTAACTAGAGCTCTATAAATGTCCTTTGCCTCCTAGTTCTTTCCTCTTGTCCCACGATCATGTTCAGCCTTCATTTGTGTTTCAGTAATTCCTCTAGGATACACTGCCCTTGATCAAGCCCCATCAAGTGTCCTATGCCCTGCTCATCATCAATTTTAGATCACTTATTCCTTTGTCCTTGGGTTTATTGACAGCCCCCTTCTTTTGCCCCACCTCCCCTCTCCCATGTCCCCCAGAACCGTGGGTCCCATTGTTTTCTCCTCCGAATTGTTTATCCCGTCTCTTTATCGATAGGCATAGAGACAATAAGCACAAAAACAAGACAGCAAAATAAAACAAAACCAACGACAAAAAAAGAAAAGCCTGTAAATAGCTTGTATATTGCCCTTTAGGAGTGTTTTCCAGTGGAGTCTGATGGTCTACCATGCCCTGGCCCCAAAGTCTGTCTTTAGTATTTCCCAGGACTTCATTGCTTTGCTCCCCTTGCTGCTTTGTTGCATGCTCTTAGTGTTCTCCCCGGTGTGGTGGGGTCAAATACCGTCTCGAATGCATTTTCTTGCCCTTGTTCTGTTAAGTCCTTCTGCTAAAGCTTTATTTTGTCTGACCTTCCACCAAATCAGTTAACCACTGCCTCTTTGTGCCTGGAACGAACATTCAGTATGCTTGCACGTTGTCATACTCAACTATCTCCATTTGAGAGAAATGACCATCAAATTTAGAGAAAATGTTGGTCTATCTGT